AAAAAAGAGGGTCCCAGACGGCACGTCAGCATCTAAACGGGTACTCGCTGCCTTCGTTTCGTATCTTCTCAGCAGTCGCAGCAGCTGCAGGTGGGATTTAGTTGAAAACGCTTTATTTTTGTACTTGGAATGTTTGTTGGTGTGTTGTGATTTTTGTTATATTTTATTGTGATGCCGTTAATGGTGTTCGTTATTTCTCGATAAGATTTTCATCCAAGTAGTAAATGTTACTGTCGGGAAGTCTTCACAGCTGTGAGTTGTCATGGTTTTGGTTCTTGTAAGCTCACTGAAGCGTCGCCTGGTTTCCCCTCAGAAACAGGCTCTGAAAGGCAAAGTACTGCAGCAGCCTCAGCAACAGCGTGGTTTGTCTTTTATTGGGAATGCTGCTGGAATGAGCGAGGATAGCCGCAGCGGTAGAGATTGGTGTTTCTCGAGCAGTGGCAGTCGCGGCCGGGAGCGGGTGATTGCGGGTGAGAGGAAGGTTCAGGGTAAAAAACCTTCTGGGACTGGGTCTCCTCTCTCAAGGGACGCTGAAGGGGGTTCTTGCTTGCAGTCGTCAGCAATGGGTTGCGGCGGGTTGGGTTCTTCTCGGAATCAAATTGGGACCACCTTGAACCTAATGGCTCCAACAAATGCTGGTATTGCCTCCAGACCTGGTGTGCAGACGTGTCCATTGGGTGCAATGAGTCCTTTGCAGCAACATACTGTAGGTGGAGTGTCGAAGCAGGGTGGTGGTAGGTCTAAGGGCACGGGGGGCTCAAGTCCTGGCGCAGCGATGTTGCACCAGGCTACGCAGTCCTCTTTTTCAGACCGTCTAACTGGAAGTGCAGGGTCCTTGGTGGGAAAGGCGCCTCTTGCCCAAGGGTTGAGTCTTGCGGGTCAAAGCATTCCAACAAGTCAGGGTGGGCAGCACCCGCAGAGTAAGATAAACCAGAGGTCAGCACAGGGAGTTCTTACAGGTTCCTCAGCGGCATCGACAGCTCCAGTTCCAAATCTTGAGGCAGTGCTGGCTGCTGCGATGGCGAATAACTCGCAGAGCCAGCAGGCGCTTCGAGCATCGTCAGTGAGTGCGGCCGGAAATGTGGGGTGTACTTCGAGGATGGGGGCTCCTGCGGTGTCACTGGGTTCGATTTCGATGGGGATATCGTCAAAGAGTTTAGGGCCGAACCAAGTGAAGAGCAGCTCGTCTCAGAAGTTGCCTTTTCCCATTCCTCAAAAGGTGGGTGCGGGTGGAGCTCCAATGAAGCGAGATTCGTCTCCTTTGTCGGTTGGCCCCGTTCTTTCGATGTTGGGTCCGAGTTTTTCGGCTCAAAGCCTGTCTAGTAAGAGCTCACAGCAATCACAAGTGCAGATTCAAGGGCTAACTCAGAGCTCGCAACAGCATATTGGAAGTCAGTCACATGGCTCTGCACAAGGACAGGGACCTCCTCCCCAGTTGCAGCCGCAGCAGAGCAAGCACTCATTGACTAATCCGCACCAAACGCAACAGCAGCATACGGTACATCCACACATGTTTCATTAGCAGCAACAACACGTGCGTTGTATGCGTCGCTGGATGTTGTCTTAAGTTGTTTGAGATTCATTTGAATATATGTAGAAAGGGCGAATCCATTTTCTCTTGGCTGTGGGCTAGTGAAGTCACATGTGCGGTGTTGGGTGAAAATGGTGCGCCTTTACCACGTGCTGCATTTGTTGTTGTGGACGGAGGTGCTATTCCCAGTAGGTTATCCGTTGGAGCAGGCTGCTATGGACTCTGCGAGCTGTTCATGGTGAGCTAGTCTCCTATGCTGATTTCGTTGTTGCTATGGTTGCAGCATCAGCAACATCAACACTTGCATCAGCATCACCAACAGTCTGGTCATCTACAGGATTCCCAAGCTGGCCCTCCACATTCCCAAGTGTCTCAACATGCTCCATCATACCACCAGCAGTCTGGGCATCAGCAGCAGCCTGGTTCAGGTTCTCAAGCGCAGCAGGTTCATTCCCAACAACAAATGCAGCAGCAGCAGCACATGCAGCCACCACAGCATGCATCTCATCTGCAGCAGCACCAACAAGCATCGTCTCATCAACAGCAGCAGTTCGGTATTCCCGGCGGGAACGGTAGCTTGGCAATAAGCTCCGGGCTTTCACTGGGCGCGGGGAACACGGGCAGTGGCGTGGGGGGTGGGCGGAGCAGCACGAACTCCGATGGTGGGGGAGGGGCCCCGAATGGGAGGGCGGTTCAGTCTACGAAGCAAGGAGGGGGTGGCGGTATTCCAGGAGGACAGCGGGCGAGCGGCGGGCCGGGATTTCTGCAACAATATGGAAGCGGCGGTGGGGCGTCGTCAGGTCAGCAGCAGTCGGGGAGCCCTCGGAACAGCGCAGCGTCGGGGTATTCACAGGGGAACTCGAACTCGGGGGCAGCGGGAAGAGCAGGTAATGGAAAGGGAGGTGAGTATGGGTAGGCGGGTGAGTATGGGTAGGCGGGTGAGTATGGGTAGGAGGTGGTGCAGAGGCGGAGTGAAAGGGTAGGGGGTGGTGGGGTGCAGTTGTGTAGGGAAGGCGGTGGTTTTTGTGGGGCTAACGGAGGCGGTTGAGGGTGGGGGCACATGCAGATGGTGGTCAGGAGCAGGCGAACTGTATGCGGATGGCGAAAGGTGGAGCGCAAGCAAGGGGTGGGTCGACGATGGGAAGCGGTGGGGGGATGCAGGGTTCGTCGCAGCGAGCGGAGGGGGTTGGGGGAGGTGGGAGTAAAGCGGGGGGTGGGGGGTTGAACAGTTTCGGGGATATTGTGCAGTCACGGACGAGTGTGATGATGACGAGCCCGAGCGGCGGGGCACAGGGTGGTGGGAGTATGTCGAACGGGCAGAGCAACATCAGCAATCCAAATGTACAGAGTGGAGGAGATGGAAGGCATGGAGTGAACGGGGACGTTGGTGGTGGTGGTGGAGGCCAGAACCAAGGTCACGCAACGTCAGGAACGTCGATGGGGGCCGGTGGCGTGGTAGCTAGTGGTCCAGTAGTAGCGGTGCTGGGTGCTCAGCCTCCGACGAGTGCGGTGCAGCAGTGAGTTGGTGGAGGAGTTAGTTTTCTCTGACACTTTCGTTCGTGATATTCGAAGGAAATGCATGCGAAAGTGGTTTTCGTGCAACGCTCATTTGTTGAAGGTGACAATCCGGAACTTAACCATTTTTCTTGATCACCACTTAGACCCCGACGGATCACTACTCTTGGTCATGTCGAGGATCATCAGACTTTTTTTGAGCGGCATGGTCGAGTCGAGGAGTTCCAATTCGCTGAACGTTGCACGCCGATTTACTTGTGAGACGTCTCTTACTATTTTATCTGATAACAATTTGTGCAAGGGTGTTTGTCTGGTTTTTTTGGTTTTTTGCTCTTCTATGATGGGTTTTGTGTGTGCTGCAGTTGTAGTGCCATATATTAAGGTGGTGTTTGTTTTGTTGAAATCCGATGTGTGTGAGATTCGATCGAATTGCTAGGTCCGGTACTGTGGTCGTGTTTTCATTGTGACTAGCCATGGAGTTTCTGCTGCTTTGAATTTTTGGTGTTAGTGTTTAATGTGTGTAGTAGCTAGTCGCGTGTGGCAGTTGATGCTGAGATTATGGATTGGTGGTTGTGTTGTCAGCGATGCGTTCTGGCTTAGGCGTTTCGAAGGATTCACGAGACTGGGAACTGCGATGGACGGAGATTTTCAGATTGAGACATGAGTGAAGTTGATTGGACCTAGCCAGATGTAGGTGCATCATGGAAGAACAGCTACTTTGGTTAAAGAATGTACAATTGGATGTCACACCATGACCTGCGAGGGGCTTAAATTTCCTATCTGAAGTACATTTGCTCATATGAGATGGTCATGAATGAGAGACCCGGACACTTTTGTGGGAGTTTGCTTTTTTCAGCAGTGGAGTTTGCAAAGAAATGATATGTATTTTCTTTGTGATACAAGTATATATGATGGCCCTTCCCCTAAGCTCACCTTTATTTTGTCTTACTTTTGGGATGTCACGTGACCCTTTGGTTCCAAGATGGTACACTTTGGGATGTATCATGACTTCCAGATCTTCATCTACTTAACTTAATGTTTATCCACTTGATATGTTTGATTCCTTACACAGCCAATCTTTTATACAGTATCTTTTAGTGGTTTTATTGTGAATGGATCTCACATGTCTTAAAACACGTGACTTATGTCTTATGGTTAACAATTTTGTTGACAAGAGAAATATACTCCAAAATGGGGTCATTTTTGGTGCATTGTGTTGTTACACATATATTTTGTTCAATTTTAGAAATCAATGTGATTTATAATCAAGCAATTCAACTATTTGCATTGTGTTTTTCTAATTTTCCATCATTACAATTTTTTTAGCATGCTATATTATATTACCAAGTTTTGAATGATTTTTGATTGATTTCCAGGCCATGATTTTTGTTAAAATTTCTATTATGAAAATGACACTTTCTACTGTATTTTTTTTTAAAGAAAGGAAAAACAGAAAGTTATATCTTGTTCAATTTAAAATCAGTACATTTTGCATTGGTTATGGAGTTAGATGTGTCAAATGTAACTCATTGATGTAACTTTTTTAAAACAAAAGTGTAAACAAAATTACTTTTATAAAAGATTAAATATTTTTTTCGTTCTTAGAGTATTTTCTTCATAGAGTCGCAACTTTTATTGCATATTGTTATTTTTTTTGTAACGTTTATTTATTTATTTTAATAGTTTAATATTTTAATTTTGAATTAATATCATTTATAATTCTTATTGCTGTGATCTATTTTACCATTTGGAATTGAATGTTTTTGATATTTGGTGCTTTATCTTACTACAGTTACAAAGTATTGCATGCTACACCTTTCTATTCTTGGATGATTCTTCTTCTATTCAAGATTCTTTCATTGTCTTTGCATATGTGATTATTATTAATTGCATACTATCTCTTAAAATCTCCCATCTAGTTTATATTATTACTAAGTGTCGAATATGTCTTGAATAATATTTATTTATATTTATATTTATACTTTTTATTATGCACATATTTTTTTATGTAAGTGATAAAAAACTAAATAGTTTTCAGTTTGTTTTCTTCTTGTTGAAGATGAAATTGGTTTGTCATGTTTTTGGTGCCTTGCATTTTTTTTGAGCTTAGGGTTGCAAAATTTTTCCTTGTAACAATTCTTTAATTGGATTCATAATTTTTTTAATTTAGAGCAAAAGATGGCAAGATAAGTACTTTGAACTTTTTAGATAAATATCTCTATAGATAGTTTTTGCAATGTTTTAAGTATTTAGTTGACAAAAAAGTAAGAATTATAAATGACTAGTGATTATCAACAACATATCTCTACATGACTTGGGATGCCTTTCTAATCTTTGCCCAATGGATTGTATACTTTAAATTGTTCTGGAATCAATTTAAAACTCAAAGGAATCTGATTTTCATCTCACACTCTTGTATTAAACAAATTTAGTAATCTGATTTAATCAAAGCCATGTGTCAATTTGAATAGTAAGGATCTAATGAACATTATTGATTTTTTGTTATAAGTGACTTTTGGATCTATAACCAACTGATCTAGATCAATCTAGATCAGATTTATTGTCAATAATTAATTGTTGCACATGATTTTGTTGTATGCAATCAATTAATTTAATTAACTTAGTAAGTATTTTCTTTACTTACAAATTTGTTTTAGTAATTTTTTCAATTAGATGAAATTATATATATCTATATATTCATTCATGCCATTTAAAAAAAATAATGTACACTAAAAGATTTGTAAAGAATGTAAATCCATTTTTTATGGTAATTTTTGTAAGTCTTTTAGAACTAATTTGTTATGACTTAATTAAATACTATAACACATCACACACATTTTTGTTCATTTTATAAATATATTAAATTTATTTAATAATTAAGGTGCTATTATTCTATATTATAGTTTTTAATTTTATAATATTATGCAATTTAGTTTGTATAAACTTATATATTTGTCTGAGTGGATCTAACACAATAACACATTTTAGATTTATTGATATGATTTATATTTACAAAAAACATATTACTTTTTAGAAAGATATAAAATATAAGCATGAGATAAGCTAACTAATATTATCATAAAATCATAGAATCTATAGTGAATTATAAAAATCAATATTTAATTTAAATAATGTCAAAACGGCTAAATTGACTTAGTCACTATTCTTATATAATCATCAAAATATTATCAAAAAAATGACAATAATGTTATAAAGAGCAATTTTAGTTTAGTTAAGTTGACTATGAGTTACAACATAGACTTAAATTAAAAAAAGAAGATTGTAGTACCAAATAACATGGAAAGAGGATATAACTACAAGTTAAGCTAATGATAAGTTTAGAAGTTATCACATGCAATGAAATCAATTTTTTTGTATGCATGGAATTCAGCGAAGATGTAAATTGAATAATCTTCAATAGAAATTTTCTTCATGGTAACAGAGCTGGATTGAAGAGAGTTTGTTGATTATTGATAGTGACATGTTTTTGAGAAACATATAAGAGTCACCTAGTTGATGTTACAGATTACTTTTACAACTTTGATTTGAGAGTAAAGACTAATAGAAGTGGTACAATAAGTGATATAGAGAAAGGTCTTCAAAGAAAAAGACTTTAGAAATGAGTGAGATTGAACCACAAGGGCAACCCTTTGTAGGAGAATTTCACAAATTTGTTGGAGATAAAAATTCTCATGAATGGCAATCTAGAATGAAATTTGTGCTTATTAAATAGAACCTATGGCTAATTGTAGAAGTGAAAAGAGAACCAACAACTTTTCTTGCATTAAACAGAGAAAAACATTATACAGCAACAACTCTTTAGGAGGAAAAGAATAGAGCACATTTGAGAATTTTGATGTTTGTTTGTGATGAATTTGTGGATACATTGATGGAGAAATTAGACCCTACTGATACATGGAATTTTCTCATGGAAGTCTATTAGAGTAGAGATCAATCAAAAATCATGTTGATAAATTCTCAGTTCTTTTCATTGTGGTTACAAAAAGAAGGAGATGTCAAAGAATATGTGAGACTAGCAAGGGAATACAAGAACAAGCTTGTTATTTAGGAGAAGCACTTCAAGACAAAATGTCAAGGAATTTGCTCTTGAATAGATTACCAAAGAATTACAACATGATGATTTAGTTGATTAATAATTCAACTCTTTCGCCAAGTTTTGATAAATGTATTACTGGGGTAGTGAATGAGGCAAAAAGACTTAATATTAGAATACAACATTTGGGTGAAATTGAAGAGATAAATTATGCTACAAATCCAAATTGTGAATGTGGACGAAGTTGAGGAAAAATAAAACAATGTGGACGTAGTAGTAGAGGAAGATGGAGAGGAAGATCAAATTTAAGAGAAGAACTAGTTTATTGCAATGAACTTCATATGTGAACAACCTGGACATATTACGTAAGAATGTTATTATTGCAAAAGACTAGTATCTACAAAAAGAGATGATAATTCAATAGTTGAATCAATAAAAAAAAAAAAAAAAAAAAATGAACCAAATGAGCTTGAAGCATCTCCAGCCGAATTTCAGAAACCCAAATAATGGTATATGGATAGTGGATGTAGCATGCATGTGATAGGAGAAAAAGATTCGATCACAAACATGAGAGAAATGGATATCCAAAATCTTACTACAATGGGTGATGAATTGCATAGAATCAAAAGAAAAGGTGATGTTAAATTATAAAATTATCATGGTGAAATGAAAGTTAAAGATGTTTTGTATTCTCAGTCTACAACTAGAAACCTACTATCAGTAGGCTGTTTTGCAGATGATAGAAGAGCAAATTTATTTATAAGAACATATGTATACATTCTAGACAGTATTAAAAATATAAAAATAGTTGCTGTCGAACATAAAGATTTGAAAAGTGGGCTTTATAGATTCGGCAATACAATCTTCACAAAAAATAAAATAAAATATATTTCAATTTATATTAAGACAAAAAAGTGGCATTTTTGCTATAGAAATATGAACTATGCTGGACTATACCATCTTTTGAAAGAAAATTGAGTAAGAGGATTACCAACAATATAGAATGTAAAACAAATCTGCGAGGCTTGTTTAGTGGGACGTCAACACAAAGATTTTTTTCAAAAGCATCTTTTAATAGAGCAACAAAGATAAATCAACTTATTCATGCGGATTTGATGGGATCCATGAGAATAGCATTGTTAAATGGATTAAGATTTATTGATGTTTTTACCAATGATAGAAGTTGTAAAAGTTGGTTATATTTTCTCAAAACAGAGAGAGAAACTCTTGAAAAATTTAAGCAGTTTAAGGCAATAACAGAAGCTGGAAGTAACAACAAAATAGAGATATTAAGGACTGATAGTGAAGGATGATTCTTATCTACAACATTCACAAACTATTGCAAGGCAAATGAAATTAAAAGGAAATTGACACAAGCTAGAACTCCTGCTTGAAATAGTATGGAAAAAAGAAGAAATAAAGTTCTTATTGAAAAGACAAGAAGTTTACAATATGAAGCAAAATTACCTATATATCTTTGGACAAAAATGGTAAATGCAACAAATTAACTTATAAAAGAAGACCTACAAGGACAATAAAAAGACAAACATCAAAGGAAAGATAGACAATGAAGAAACCATCACTCTATCATCTGAAAATTATGGGAAGCTTGGCATGTGTACATGTATCTAAAGAAGAGAAATCAAAACCTTAATCAAAAACCTTAAAATATATTATGGTGGGATATGATAAAAAAAGCAAAGTATATAGGCTTTATTATCTACCAATAAAGAAGATTCTTTTCAATAGAGATATGGTATTTGATGAATCTAGAATTGGATTCAAATTTACAAAATTAAATAATGTAGTCGATATAGATACAAAACTATTTGTATCATCAAAAAATGATGAGTATAATCAAAATTAAGAATTGTTTCATGAGAATTATGATCAAAATCCAATACAAGCAGATGATAACAATTTCAATTGAGTCACCAAATAGGGAGTGTGAATCTGCTTCACAAGATAAAGAAAGAAATGTTAAAGCTATAG